GTTATCCACTGGACACAGTTCCACTCAGAATCCACAGGACAGTTTCCTCAGCTTTTGGGCAATCCATCCCATGGCATGGGGAACAAAGGGCCAAGAACAAAGAACAGCTCACAGTCATGGGTTTGGAACAGTTTCATTTCTCTCTCATTTGCTGAGGTTTAGAGGCTAAAGCAGACGAATGTCACCAGGCACAGATTGGTTCTGTCACATTCTTTTCCTCTCTGGGTCGTATAAATCTGTATCTTTCATCAGGTACAGTCACTGACCTGTGCACACACACTCCTCACACAGCAAGTCACTGGCGTTCCCCCCAGGGAGGTGGAGGCAGTGTATATACTTCTTGGCCTGTGTTTATGTTAGAATGATTTCTCACTCTGAAGAAATCTCAGCTTTGATTAAAGGAAGCAGAGTAGGATGGTGAAACAGGTTATCTCCAGCACTGTTGTTTGGATTACATTTTCTGAGAACACTGAAAGGGACAGCTGAGCTGTAACATGCAGATTTTATGGAGTCAATACCCTTCACACAAGAGATGTTGGGCACCACACAAAAACCTCTATTAAACTCACAGAAACACCAGAGTGGGCCGCGCATCACACCCAGCTCAGTGCCAAGCCATGGCTCAGGTGCAGCTGCCTGCAGAGCCTCCATGGTTTCTGGGGAGCAGCAGGATCTCACGGGGAAGAGAGAGGCCAGGCAGGTGTGTGTTGTGCACAGCGTGAGCTCAGACATGGGGCAGAGCCACCGATGGGGCTGCCCGAGGCCATATCCCCCACACACCTCCAGGTCCAAGGCAACACTCTGGGATCACTTTGGTGTTCTCCCCAGGAGCTGTCAGACCTGGAGCCTTTTGCCAAGGAGCTCTGCCTCCTGCTTCTGTCAGCTCTATCCCCGGAAAGCCATTCTTGAGGAATGGAGCTGGGAAAGATAAACCACCTATGTTGTCTTCTGGCTGTGGTTTTGAAGAGGAGCTGTGGAACCCACTTGTGTCCCTGTGCACTGCAGTGGAGTGGGATGGTGATGGCTGCTTCATCTTGTTAGACAAAACAAAGCAGTTCAGGACACACCAAGAAAGGGCTCCGAGAGCAAGTCCAGTCTTGTTCTGAACTCTTGGAAATCTACTTTTCCTTCATTTAATTGACAAAATCTGTAGATCATACAAGGAAGACATTCCCTGCCAAAAATCCAGCATCACTAGCTTTTAATAACACAATAGGAATAACCCCCTGGAACATATGTAATTATGGGAATGAGTCATTCCAATGGCATCATGTAACCACATTCCCTGGGATCTGTCAGGGATGAGGCCACAGAGAACTCCGAGTGATTTCATCTCGGGCCTGGTGGGGCAGAGGTCCTGAGGGGCCGCGGCCGAGTGGCAGAGCTGATGGGCAGCGACCTCTGACCACTTGGTCCGGCTGGACACGCATGGACATCACCCCTGGGCCAGGGAAACAGCACAGGAAACAGTGACTCAACAGCAGCTCAAAGCTGAGTCACAGAGCAGCCAAAAATGGTTTAGTGGGCAAAGTATCTACAGGTTCTTATCAGCCAGGCCTCGGGGTGCTGTGACAGCACCAGTGCTGCCCCCAGGGACGGAGGTTGGGTCAGGGCACACGTGAGGGGGAGGAGGGTGAGCTGGAGCAGGCCCCACACACTGTCAGCAGGACCTTCTCTCTGAAGGCACATCCTGGACCATGGCTCACCCCAGGGGGACGTGGGGCACACTGAGCACAGCCGGGGCAGGATTGAACCCTCCCTGCCAGAGTGGGGCTCAGCACCCAACTGGCAGGCAGCAGCAGGACGAGTTCCCCACGCCACAGCCTCCTGTGCTTGCACAGAAAGAGACAGTGATGTCCTGGCTGCGCCTCAGGGCCTCTTGCTAACAATAAAGAGGGAGCTTTCTGAAGGGAGAGGAAGAAAGAGTGGGGAGAGCAAAGCAAGTATTACTCAACTATTTAGTCTAAACCACTGAGAATCAAAAGGATCTTCTGACAGATTGATATCGACTCTAATGGAAAACACACTTGTCCTGGGGAACTCTCCTCCACCAGCCTCGAGTTTGATAGCTGGAACAATTATCTGCAATTTGGAATTGATTTTTATGCCCACATCAATGTGAGCTTCTTCAGTGCCCAAGGCACAGATAATTCCATTAGGAGAAAAACCAGAACTCGTAGGCTGAAGCCAAGCAGCCTCCAAACTGCGTCTTACAAAACACATCCCAGCTCTGACTCTGCAGGGAC